AAACACACAGGTTCACAGAAGGAAGCTGGAGAAGCAGGTGAAGTCCTCGGCCAGAGACAGGGGAAAGGTGGACGGAAGGATCCCCACAAAAAAAAGGAGGGAATGTTTTCTCTGATAGGTGGATGCTAACCCACAATAGAAGGAGGAGTGAGGGAAAGACTAGAAGAGCAGTAGACAAAGAGGAATTGAGGGAAGGGAGGGGAGATGAGCAAAGGAGACAGTAGAATGAATCTGACATAGTTTTCCCATGTACATGTGTAAAAACAACACAGTGAATCTCACCACCATGTCCATCCTTAAGACTGGGATTCAAACTAGAGTAACATATACTCCATGTTTACATAATCATAGCAAAATGGATATATAATTGAAAAGAACCAAAAAATAAATATTTTTTAAATGGTGGTCTCAAGGACTAGAGAGCACAAGTCCAGGATGGGCACTGCCCACCAGCTGGAATCTGTGATGAAATAGAGAGGCTGGAGGCCCAAAGCCTCTCTGTGCATGCATCCTTCTCACTGTCTATCCCACTGTCCATCCATGCACTCATTTATTTGTGCCCCCATCTTTCCATCCACTAGTTTTTCTACCATCCCTGTATTCCACAAATACGTTAGGTGCTTCTCAGGAGGCACACTCTGTGCAGTAGGGATTGATTTCTGTTTCAAGATGGAGAAGACAAGACGTTAGCAATTATCTAACATACTCCATGCAAGAATCAGCAGGACCACACAAACTTAATGGTGATGATTGAAATGAAATGGGAGAGTGAGAAATTATACCCAGAAGGAGACAAATGATGGGTCCCTCTGTGCCTTTATTTTCTGTAATGTGAATACCAATCCTATGGCAAACCAAGAAAGAAGGATAGCCCAAATTAAATAAAAATCCTGAGTTTGAAGTTCAGGGGACATTCACACATTCCTTGTGTGGATTTACATGAAAAGCAAATATGGGTGGGGATATAGTTCAGTTGATAGAGCACTTGCCTAGCATTTGCAAGGCCCTGGCTTTGATACCTAGCACTAAAAAAATTTTAAGAAGAAAAATGAATACAAATTTTCTTCCAAAGTCTGTGGCTATCTGACCTGAGAGAGTTGGGTAAGAACCAATCATCTTTTCTTCTCCACAAGGAGGGGAGAAGAGGAATAGACTATATTAGTCAGCTCAGGTTGCCATAATAAAATACCACAGACTGAGTGGCTTAAATAAGAGAAATTTATTTTCCCATGGTTCTGGTGTCTGGCTGTCCCAGATCAAGGCATCAGCAGGTTTGATTTAAGACCTCTCTTTGGCTTCCTGATAACTATCTTCTCATTGTGCCCCCACAAGTTATTTCCTCTGTGTACACATCCCTGGTGTCTCTTTCTGTGTCCAAATTTCCTCTTCTTATAAAGACATCAATCAGATTGGAATAGGATCTATCCTAACAGCCTCCTTTTACCTTAATCAACTGTTAAGGGCTTCCATCTATAAATAGAGTCACTATTATGAAGTACTAGAGATTAAGGCTTCAACATATGAATTTTGGGAATATGCAATTCAGCCCATAACACAGATAAATAGTTTTGAAAATAGGAACAAAACAATCATAAGACATACACCTTTTATAGGACCCTAGGGGGAAGTTATGGCACATCTCTCTCAGAACAGAGCCAGAATAAAATGGAAGACAAGTGTGGAAATGGAGGCTCAGTCTAGAAAATTCTTTAACCTCAATAACCCTTGGTCATCTCTAAGATATGACCCCAGGATGTTCCTCTGGGTCTTGGAAAGCTGGTAGCCTACCATGCACACCTCAGAGAATGTAAGTTTATTAAACAATGTCTTCAGACTCTCCATCCTTACCCCATCCTTCCATAGCTGCTGTGAATTAAGGTCTTCCCATTGTAACAAACATTTTATCAACCCCAAGGAGGAGATAGGGAAACCCAACGGGAAGGGTAGAGCTATCTCACCTGTCATCTATTCAGTGGAGGGCTTGGCCTCCTACATGGAAGTCCAGCTGGCTGAGGTGATGGCAGGTCCTCACGGACAGATATGTGTGGAGAGCCATTCTCACGCGTGACTGGGTGACTCCCTGATTGGGTCTGAGGCTTCTGGCTGTGTCGGAATTTTCCTGGCCCTCTCCTGATGAGAGAACCCGTCCGTGTGGGGGTGTTACTGACCACTGACCCCGGGGGCCCAATCACTGACCCTGACCTTGGAGTGCGGCCTACCTTCATTGGATGGAATTATCCCCTGAATTTCTTGTTCCCCAATAAAAGGCTACTCCCTGGCATGCTTGCTCTCTCTCTCTCCTGCTAGCCCTGAGTAATCCTTGCTGCCCTACGGGTGGTTTGAGGTTGGAGCCAGAGAGGGGAGCCGTCTCGGACCTGGTCATAGAAATAGGTAACTGAGTCTGTGTGTTTTATTTCAATCTCTGCTAGCTAACTTTTATGCCAAGAACCTCATTAATGAAACCAATGCGCAGGCCGCATGGTGGAATTGGCGCCCACGAGGGGGGCATTCTAGATTAGCTAGATTGAGTGGGAGCGCGCTATAAAGATAAGATAAAGGAAGTGGTGACAATTTAGAGTCACAAAAGTACCTGGAGATATTGAAGGGAAGAGACGTTAAATTAATTAAAATGGGAAATTCAACTTCTACTGATAAGGAAATGTATCTGACTATTTTAGACAGTATAATTAATCAGAAAGGAAAACAGATAAAGAAAGCTCAGTTATTACAATTCTTAAAGATTGTAGGCGAATATTGTCCTTGGTTTTGTGAACAAGAGTCTCCAAATTTATCTACTTGGGAGAAATTAGGAAGAAAGTTACAAAAGGTTTATCTCTCTAATGAACTACCTGGAGGCATAGAAAGTATTCAGAAAACTTGGACAGCCCTGGAAGTTTGTCTTTTTGAGTATATGGGCCAAAGTTCATGGCCCCCTGAAGACCTGTTAAAAGGATTGCAGAGGGCTATTAAGTCTATTCAAATGGAAAATCCCGCCTGAGGCTAAGTTAATTCCCTTTCCATTAAGCCATTTAAAAACAAAGATGCTAGGGGCCAAGCCAAAGGTTAGGAATGTGACCTTAAACTTGCAAGACCAGGCTAGCCCGCAAGGAGATTCTAGGGACGAATATCATAGAGGAGAAACCTCCGAAATCCTAGAAAGCCCTCCGGAAGAGGTAGAGGATCTTCCTGGAGAGGAGAATCTGGAAGAGATTCCTAGAGGGGCTCAGAGTTCTTCTCAGCCACATGGCTTAGAAGCCCAATTTCAAAATGGCGACAGTGCAGAGTCTGACCATGAATCGCAGTCTGAGGGAAAAGAATCAGACATTGAAATTCAGGACTTACAGAGAAATCTTAACAGGCTGCATTTAACACTGCCTGCCCAGGCTATTCGAATTTGGCCAGTGCCTGCTAAAAGGACAAAATTTAACAGGTATGCTGGATTAACAATGACTTTTCTTACCCCATTCCAGCGAGGTATTAAGAAAGCACAGGAAGATGGGGAGGATACTAGCGGTTTTCAACTTTTTCCAGTTTTTGAGCAAGTTAATGAGCAAGATCAGAGAGTTAGAGTTCATGCTGTAATCCCATTTAAAACCATTAAGGAACTAAAAAATGCATGTGAGACGTATGGTCCAAATTCGCCTTTCGTACAGAGCCTGATAGAAAATATTTGCTCACAGCCCCTTCCTCCTAGCGATTGGATTTCTTTAGCCAGATCCTGTCTGAGCGGGGGAGATTTCTTACTCTGGAGAACTTATTGGACTGATTTTTGTACTGAACAGGCAGAAAAGAACAAAAGACAGGATATAGAAACGCCAGTAGAAATGTTTCTAGGGACAGGTGAATTTACTGATATAGAAAGACAGTTAAATTATGAATTTGTAGTATACAATCAAATAACTGATTGTGCGAAACGTGCCTGGAGGCAGATTGTCCCTAAGGACCAATCCAATTTAGTTCTTACCAAAATCAGGCAAGGTGCGAGTGAACCTTACTCAGATTTCATAGCCCAATTGTACCAGGCTGCAAACAGGTCAATCGGGGACTCAGGAGCGAGTGAGTTCATTGTTAGGCAATTGGCATTTGAAAATGCAAATAAGCATTGTCAAGATGTTCTTAGGCCGCACCGTAAAAAAAGGGACAGTTTCCGAGTTTATTCGCTTATGTTCTGACATAGACTCTACCCATTTGCAGACAGTAGCGCTAGCCGCGGCACTAAAGGAAACTTTGAAACCACAGGATTTAGTACAAAAACCCTGCGAAAAATGTTACTTTTGCGGGAGAAATAATCATTTTGCGCGGGAGTGTCACATGCGCAATTTTAAGTTCAGGGCTCCATCTACTGGTGATAATAGATATTGCAGGACTCAACCTCACGTGGCGAATCAAGATGGTGCGGATGAGCCCGCCTTCTTGTCATCATTTCCGCCTGGCCGGAACACAAACTTCCGGTCGGCCCACCCCCGGGCCGAGAATGAGGAAGTAGGTGATGGTCGCGCAATGTGACGTCATCGCGCCGACCATGGGGGCCGCCATCTTTAATTTTACCGGAGCGAAACAAGCAGTTTCCGTACAAACCCCTAATGATTTTCAAGGCTTTTAAGAGATATTAATTGGCTGAGGCCATCCTTAAAACTAACTACTTCTGAGTTAAGTCCTTTATTTCAGATATTACAAGGAAATCCCTCTCCAACCTCTCCACGCCAGCTGACCTTAGAGGCTAGAACGGCCTTAAGGAGAGTTGAACGTGCAATTAAAAATGCACAGCTTACTAGAGTTGATCCTAAAGAAATAGTGTATTTGTTAATATTTCCAATTGAGCATACCCCAACAGGAGCCATATGGCAAAGATTAGGAGTTATTGGGTGGATTTATTTATCCCACTCCCCTCAAAAAACATTAATCCCTTTTCATGATTCTATAGCTCAATTAGTAATTAAGGGCAGAACTAAGATTTTACAATTAATTGGATCTGAGCCTGATATAATCATTCCATTTTCTGTTCAGCAGACTAATTGGCTTTTTCAAACTTCTAGCTCATGGCAGATAGCCTTTGCTGATTTTCCTGGCCAGATAGATAGCCATTATCCTCGTGATAAGATTATACAATTTGCATCATTAACGTCACTTATTTTTCCAAAGATTGTACGTGCACATCCTATAGATGAAGCTTTATCGGTGTTCACGGATGGTTCTAACTCAGGTAAAGCAGGTTTTTATAGTTGTGTTCACACAGAGGTAATACAAACTTCTTATACTTCTGCCCAAAGAGCAGAGCTTCAAGCTCTGATTTGTGCCTTAAATTACTTTTCTAATGAGCCTATTAATATTTATTCTGACAGCTTATATGCAGTCAGAGTTACTGAAAACATTGAGACTTCAGTTATTGGGTATACTTCATCACAGAAGTTATTTAAATTATTTCATAATTTACAAAAGGCAGTGCTAATGCAAAAGTACCCATGTTTCATAGGGCACATACGGGCTCATACTAATCTTCCAGGACCCTTAGTTTCAGGTAATGACAAGATTGATAAATTAGTAACTTTTTGTCAACAGATGTTCTCATATGACTGTACACTAGCTTCCCATTCCTTGCATCATCAAAATGCTTCTAGCTTACGTAAAAAATTTAATATTACTAGAGAACAAGCTCGTCAGATTGTAAGCCAATGCCCTAAGTGTGTTATTCACACTCCATCTCTGCCATCAGGGGTAAATCCCCGTGGATTAAAACCAAATCAAATATGGCAAATGGATGTAACTCATATTCCTCAATTTGGTAAACAGTGTTATGTACATGTCATAGTGGACACTTATTCTAGATTTATTTTTGCCACAGCATGTACTAAGAAAAATACTCAACATGTAATTTCTCATTGCCTAGTAGCTTTTTCTGTTCTAGGGTGCCCTATGCAGATTAAAACAGATGATGCTCCAGCTTATGTAAGCTCTTCTTTTCAACAATTTTGCCAAGAGTTTAAAATTAATCATAAACCAGGAATTCCTTATAACCCCCAAGGCCAAGCCATTGTGGAATGAGCTCATTTATCTATTAAGCTTCAATTACAAAATTAAAAGGGGGGAATAGGGTTGTGACTCCCCAAAATAGCCTTAATCATGCTTTGTTTGTTTTAAATTTTTTAAACTGTGAAGCAGAAGGTCACACTGCTGCTGAGAGGCAAATGTATCCCTCAGTAACAGGCCCTTTAGGCAGAGTTTTGTGGAAAGATTTACAGACTGGTCAGTGGAAAGGCCCAGATCCGGTGCTTATGTGGGGCAGAGGTCATGCTTGTATTTTCCCAGAAAGCTCTTTTCATCCTATTTGGGTACCTGAACATGCTATCAGACATGGAAGAGATAGAACCCAGATTCAAGCAACTGAGGATCGACCCGGAGGAGCCCCTATCCAGAAGGAGGAGATATCGGAAAAGGATGAAGAAAGACCAGATTGACCCAGCCGAAAAGCTGATTTCATGGGAAGATGTGAAGAAGCTAACAACCCAGGCTTCCCGAATACTTTGACACCTAGGAGAGAACAGGACCCCAGTGATGATGGTAGCAACAGTAATTGCCCTGCTGGGCTGTCAGGTAAAGGGGGATCAAGTAGACACTTACTGGACATATTTCCCAGATCCACCCCTGGTAAACCCAGCTGTGTGGACTAGAGAATCTATTCCAGTATTTACTAATGACTCATTCATGATGGGAGGATTTACAGATACTCATATTACTCCAAATCATGTGACTAGATTTAATTATTCTGGCTACAGTGCCCAATTACCTTTGTGTTGGTCACACGATAAACATGCTGGCTGTCTGAAAGTATCATTCGAAGAAAAGACAGCGATTGGTAGACCTAGACTGACAAATAATTCTATTTATGGGGACTTAAGACCTTATACTAGATCAGTAATTAAGATGGGACTTTCCCATAACAAGCCAGTCATTTCTGCAAAACCTCCACAGATACACCACTGTCCAAATAGTTCTACAATTGAGATTGGCACCTTTCCTAGATGGATGGATTGTGTAAATACCTTTCCTGTACAACATAAGGTGTCTAAAGATAGTGGGTATATTTTAGACTGGTCTCCAAAAATTGATAAGAGACAATTACGAAGAAATTCTGCTATGACTCATGCAGGATTTGTTAGTAATATTTTAACTTATAGTGAAGGTGGTGTTCAAAAGGATGTTTGGCATTTAATTGCTGCCTCAGAATTCTTACATTTTACAGACAAACCTTTACCAAAATTTGTTGGCAAGAAATGTAAAGAGGGATCTTGCTATGGCTTACGAGCCTGTGTCCAATCTCCTTATGTTTTAATTATTGGAAATGTAAAAGTTAAATGGATAGATGACAGATATATTGTTACTTGTAATAAATGTAACCTAACCAATTGTATTACTAGGTATAATGGAGGAAAAGGAGTGCTGATACTACATCAGCCCTCTTTCGTTGTATTGCCTGCTAATATTTCAGAGCCATGGTATGCTGATACTGGTTTACAAGTCTTGCAGCAAATTCATGCCCAGTTAGCAAGACCTAAACGTGCTATTGGAGTTATAATTGTTGGTGTTTTGGCGCTAGTCTCCTTTATTGCCTCAACTGTCTCTGCGTCTCTGACATTGTCTCAAAATATTCAGCATGCAAAATTTCTTAATAATTTAGCTCAAAATACTTCCAAGGCTCTGTGTAATCAAGTAAATATTGATGAAAGGATTGAAACTAAATTAAACGCCTTAGAGGCGACTGTTGTAGACATAGGTAATGAACTTTCAGCCTTAAAATTTAAGGAAAGGCTTAAATGCCATGCTAATTATAAGTATGTTTGTGTTACAGCTGCCAAGAACAATGCTTCTCTCTGGGATTGGGAGAAGGTTAAAAACCATTTGTTAGGTATTTGGCAAAATAGTAATAATAGCTTGGATATTCTGGAACTTCATCACCATATCCAAGACATTCAAAATAATAGAGCTGATTTTTCAGATCCTTCTTCTTTGGCAAACCAAATATTGAAGGAGTTGAATGGATTCAACCCTGGAAATATTCTTAAACACTCGGCCTGGTACATTATTGGATTATTCTCTTTGCTGTTAATTCTCTTTTGTGTTGTAATTATAGGATGGCGAGTCTTCGGAACAAGAATACAGAAACTCCAAAGAGTGAACTGCCGCCTCATTTTTAAGAATAGAAAGGGGGAATATGTGGAGAGCCATTCTCACGCGTGACTGGGTGACTCCTGGTTTGGGTCTGAGGCTTCTGGCTGTGTCGGAATTTTCCCGGCCCTCTCCTGATGAGAGAACCCGTCCGTGTGGGGGTGTTACTGACCACTGACCCCAGGGGCCCAATCACTGACCCTGACCTTGGAGTGCGGCCCCCCCTCAACCTTCATTGGATGGAATTATCCCCTGAATTTCTTGTTCCCCAATAAAAGGCTACTCCCTGGCGTGCTCGCTCTCTCTCTTCTGCTAGCCCTGAGTAATCCTTGCTGCCCTACGGGTGGTTCGAGGTTGGAGCCAGAGAGGGGAGCCGTCTCGGATCTGGTCATAGAAATAGGTAACTGAGTCTGTGTGTTCTATTTCAATCTCTGCTAGCTAACTTTTATGCCAAGAACCTCATTAATGAAACCAATGTGCAGGCCGCATGGTGGAGATATGCAGCCTGTGTCTCTCCCTGAATGGAGGGCATTGATCTCCCCATGGAAAGCAAGAATGGGAGGGTCCATGGCTAATGCACACTCTGGTAGGGAGGAAAGAAACAGGAATTCCCAGGATGTTGCATTACAGGTTCAGTGATATGACCCTCCACTGATCAAGGATTAAGGCTGGCTTCCTTGGTCCCCAGCTATTTGCCTGACTGCCATCTCCACAACTATGTTCCCAGGCTGTCTGGCTCTGGCCCTTCTGTCTGTGCTGGGCGCGAGTACCCAGGCCTTCCATGACGACCTTGTCAAATGCTTTGAAGACCCCCAGTATGAAGAACTACTACAGCTGGCTCAAGACGGGCTGGGGTAGACAGCTGAAAAGAAACGGATAGTGGTGATTGGGGCAGGCATGGCTGGACTCACAGCTGCCAAGATTTTGCAGGATGCTGGCCACCAGGTACACAATGGTGCTTGGGAGAGTACCTCATAGGGATCTTGGACTCTGAGCAGGGAGGTGGCTGCAGGTGGTGGATAGCCCAGTGGAACTGGAGCCAAAGACTAAGTCTAGGACTCTAGGCTGGGATGGAAGGGGTAGGAGAGCAATTGGTCTGTCTCTATGACAGAGAGAGACTTCAGAAAGAGGCAAATCTGGGCCTGCCTGGAAGGAGGAAGAGGGGGTTTATGGCGGGGACACGGCTGGCCTAGTTGATTTCTATAAATACTTATCTTTCTAGGTGACTGTTCTGGAGGCTTCAGGGCATGTAGGTGGCAGAATTGAGACCCATAGAGTTCCTGGAACACAGTTGTACATAGAGTTGGGTGCCATGAGGATCCCCATCAACCACAAGTATGATTGAGAGAAGTGGGGGTGGATGGGGAAGACCAGGATATGGGCTGCTAACAACAAGGACAGGACCTATGCCAACTCATTTCATAGCTCCACAGCTACCTCGAAACCTCTCCCAGCCTCAATGTTCTAATATAGAGAACAGACATAACTGCACCTGTTGAGGATTACAAAAGATAATTGGGATAGGAGAACTCCTGGGAAAGTCAAAAGGCAGTCTGTGAGGCCTGCTAACGATAGAAATATGAACATCCTTCTGGGAGAAAGTGGTGTCTTGTGGGAGCCCACTTCGGGAGGGCCATCCTGAAGGGGTGGGTGAGCAGGAATAAGGAGAATGCAGACTGGAAGACTCATGATACACACAGCCTCCAGGGAGGATAAATCCAGGGACACTCCCTCTACACATCTTCATATTGTCTCCTGGACCTGGAGGGGCCACACCTAAAAGTCTGAAGACTACAAGCCTCAAACAAAGTGAGAGAGATCTCAGCCAGCAAAGAGGGCCAGCCTGTTGTGTTGTGACCACAAGAATGGGTACCCAGTTTCCTCTTGGTCACATAGCCATAGCTTGGCATAGCAACTTGGCATAGCAACTAGGTAGCCTAGCATTCCTTCTGTGCAGGGAGGTCAGAGAGGGCCCCAGGGAATCCAGTAGGGGCAGGGCGTGAGCACAGGGAGCAGGGAAGACTGGTTGCTTCCTCATCCTGGATCAGTCTCTGACTCACTCCACAGGCTCTGTCATGAGTTTATCAGGAAATTGGGGCTGACCCTCAAGGAGTTTTTCCCCTCCAACAACCAGACCTGGGTGCTGATCAATGGAGTGCGGCAGCGCACGGGGATTGTGCAGGCTGACCCCAGCCTGCTAGGGTACCCAGTCAGAGCAGATGAGGTGGGGAAGACAGGTGACCAGCTCTTTGATGAAGCATTCAGAAAGGTAAGCCAAAGTAGGAATCAGTGACCTCCATGCAGGCCATCATCTTCTTCAAAGACATCTTGTGCAAACTTCCTAAAGTTTCTCTCCGTGGACCCCAGGCCCATGTGCAGGAGGGCTCCACTAGCTTGGTCTGTCAACCTTGCCTCCCTCCCATGACCTCCCATCTCAGCAGTCATTGTGCATTTTCAGATCCCAAAGGTCTTCACATGTACAAACATGTGCAAAGCTAGCTGCCTTTGAGATCATCATGGCAGATCTAGGTTTAAGGCAGAGAAAGACCTACAAGCTGGACTCTATTTGAATGTACTGTGTGACCCTGGACAACATGCTTGCCATCTCTCTGTTCCAACTTCTATAAAACAATCATAAGGCTAGAGCCTCTCTCCCAGCCTGGTTGTGAAGATTAAGTGAGAAAATGCATATAAAGTGATAAGAACTTTGCAAGGCATATGGCCAATCTTGAATTATAATTGTCATCATTATTGATATGTGGTCAAGGAGGAAAATCAATGATGGGCCCTGTCTGGAATACCTGCACACCTTTTTCTAACTGACCAATGTTTACTCAGCACTGACAGTGCCTTTTTCTTTCCTGATCTGTGTCCCAAAAGGACCTCAGTGTGACAGTTGAGCTCTGGTACATAGCTTCCACAGAAGGCCTCTGTCCAGATGCCCTGCCTTTGCTGGAGTGATATCCTGCTAAGCTCAGCATGCACTCCGCAGCTCTTGGACCTCATCCAGTATCACTTAACAGCTCAGTGGGACCAAGCCCTTAGGCGTCCACACCATTCACAGTGGCCCCAGAGGCCTGCAGAAATGTCCTCAGACAAGGACAAGGAGATAGACTTCCCCAATTCTGGGGACTCCAAGGCTGACAGGGAGCCTGGCTCCAGCTTTATACACCTCAGAATATGTCCAAGACAGGGGATAATGTTTCCACCCTCAAGCGCCCCAGTCCAGCTGAAGGACTGAGTGTTGCATTCAGGACTAATATAAAGAATGCCTCAGACACACCCAGGATGAGTGGAAGCAAGTGCCAAGCGTGGAACATGGGGGTATGTGGGAGCAGGGTCTAGGGTGTGTGTGGAACTGACCTTCACTAAAATGTCCTCCCCTCCTCCTTCTTCCATGCCAAGCTGGTGGAGGAGCTGAAGAACAGTAGCTGCAGCCAGATTCTGGAGAAGTATGACTCCTTCTCCACCAAGGTCAGTCCTGAAGCTCCCCTCTAACCATGGCTAACCATGCCACCCTGTCACAGCTACCCAGAAACCACCCCAGTGGGACGACCCACCCTAGTACTTACTACACTGCACCTTACTTGTTTATCTTTTTTATAATCTCTATCCTTTACTTGAATGTAAGCTCCATTAGGACAGGAGAGAGTGGAGAGGAAGGTAGGAAGGGAGGGAAGAAAGAAAATTTTAAAAAAGACCACCCCAAGGATAAAGGTCAAAGATATAGCAAGTCAGAGCATGCTATTTCAAGGAACTTGCCACCATCACTTGCATTTTTGCAGAGAGTCAAAGGCAGGTAGAGGTATGGGAAAGCCCTTATACAGTTATGTGTTGCTTAATGAGGGGGATAACGTCGCAGAAGTGCATCCTTAGATGATGACATAGTTCAGTAAAAATCATAATGCTTAGTTACACAAAGATGGCTACAATGTCACAAGGCTATATACTTTCTTGGGACCACTGTCCTATACTTGGTCCATCATTGATGTACTCATGGCTATAGTGCAAAAAGAGATGACTGGGGCTGGAGGAATAGCTCAGAGGAAGAACACTTGCCTGACATGTGCTAGGCCCTGGGTTCAATCCTCACATCACACACACACACACACACAGCCACAAGGGGAAGGTTTCAGATGTGCCTCAATCGGAGGCTATTGGCATGGAGAAGCTGGAGGCAGTTAACTGGAAAGGGAGCACCTATGTGATTGGCTAGGGGAGGATAGTTGGCCTCTAGTGATTGTTCCCGAGATGGGAGCAAAGAGGGCAAGGGGGTGCATAAATTTGGACAGCTGAGGAGGAAGCTGAATGGTTATGAGGAGATCCTAACCATTCATGGCTGACTGCTCCAATAGAGGTGGCGGTTTGCCTTTCAGAACTGGGTGCTTCAGAAGTTGGGTGGGTCAAAGTCCTGTGATATCTGATCAGCCACCCTGATTGGTGAAACTTTTCCAGCCAGATTTGTCATGTCCAGGACTTGCCTGGGAGAAAGGAGCATGGGCAAACCACAGGGCACAATCACAGGCCAATGGATATACTCGAAGTAGAACCTCATAGTCACTTTCTGGTGCAGGGGCCAGGACAGCCAGGTAATGGGTAGGAGTAGAGGGTCAGGGCAGGATGAGAAGCAATACTTGGTATTCACCTTCCTCCTGGCTTGGTGTTTTGGGTAGAAAAGAGAGGCCAGTCTGGGCCCCATACAGTTACAGATGGACATGAAGACTGGACCTCAGCTTTCCCATCTGTAAAATAGGGCTTCTTTGGATTATATAAGAGGATTATACATGTAAAGGGCTTGGAAGAGGATCTGTAGGTTAAAATCCATACCAAACGTTAGCTATTTGTCCCTGTTATTAGGACTGTGGAGACCATTTGGAGCATTGTCCTCAGAGCCCTGTGTGCAAACCAGGCACCTGGGACCCAGCTGAGTACACTTCTGTCATTCCACCCTGTCCAGTTCTGTTCCTCGTTACCCCCAGGTGAGAAGCAATGGCTCTCATGTCAGCTCCCTAAACATTCTGACCTGGTTGCCTTCTTTTCCTGAACGTGATCCCAGGAGTACCTGATCAAGGTGGGGAACCTGAGTCATGGGGCAGTGCAGATGATCGGGGACCTGCTGAACACAGACTCTGGCTACTACGAGTCCTTCATAGAAACTCTGCGTGACCTGATCATCTTCTCTCAGGAATCTCCGTGGGAAATGGGGGGAGAGAATGGGCACAGGGTGGCCAGTTACTAGTGAGGACAGGGGTAGAAGGAAGGACAAGATAAATCAGGTGATAACTCCAAGAAAAGTGGGAGTGACAGGAGGGGAGGCAGGGGTTTCCCAACTCCAATGCACCTCAGAACCACCAGAGGGAGGGTGCTTCTTAAACATGGGGCATCACTTCCAAAGTCAATGGACCTTCGCTGAGACCCAAGAACATGCATTTCTGACATATTCCAGTGATGCCATTGCTATCTGACTTGGGAGTCCACTTTGAGAACCTCTAGCTAAGGGGCTCTTAGGAGCCAATAGATCTGCTTTACTCTGGCCCTTACCTATTCTTCTGTGACAAAGAGCATGACCTCAGTCCTACTTTAGAGGTTCATGCAAGAGGAACTTGCTATCTTTCAGATCTGAAAGATAATCAGGGCCACCAAACTCAGACCCTAGTCACCCTGGGTAACTGGCTATGTGATCTGTAGCTAATGAAGATCAAATGAACTGAGATTTACTCTCACTTGGGGTTCTGTGACCCGTTTCAGATGAAACAGGTACTGACATTTGCCAGAGGAGAACTAAGCCTGGGAGAGCCCTGATGGATTACAGACCTCTTCTTTCCCTACCTGCATCCTCCCACTTCTCCTCAGCATTTTTATTCAGAATTAATCAATTTAAATTCAAGTCAATGGCTAAAATAGGGGGAGAGAGGAAGGTGAGGAAGTCTGAAGACAGATCAAGGTCAAGTGAAGGTTCTTGGTGGCGTTTAGGCTGCAGTCTTTAAGGCTACCCTGTGCTGCACTCTGTAAGGACATCATGGAAGGGGTTGAATCCATATGTAAGAATCCTGGGTCTTTGTCAGCCATGAGACCAGGCATCTTCCATGGAGGTGACCACCAAGGGGACCAGAGGAAAGTAACAAAGAGTAAGGGGCTATAGAGGCTCAGAAGGTTACATTTTTCTGATTGATCAACGCAAAGCAACACCTTTCTCTAGTTCCCTAAAGCTGACATTCTGCCTGCTGTTAATCCTTTTGCCAACTGTTAAATCTCCCTAACACATGACCAGTACAGTCCATTAGGGAACTCACCTCTGTCCAGTCCAAATGACACGTCCTCTGCATGCCTTGTCCAACTACCTGTTTCTCTTTCCTCCTTTGCTTGCCATTCTCAGGTTCCATGAAATCATCGGAGGCTTTGACCAACTCCCTCAGGCCCTTCATGATGCCCTCTTGCCAGGGACAGTCTTGTTTCATTCACCAGCAGAGGAAGTAGAGATATCTAGAGACCGTGTCCATGTCACATTCAGGACAGCTGACCCTCTGCAGCCCAGGTCACGTCTGACTGCCGATTTTGTGGTGGTGGCCAGCACTGGCAAGGCTGCCCGGCTCCTCTGTTTTCGGCCACCCCACTCTCTCAACAAGGAGAATTCACTACATTCAGTCCACTACACCAGCGCCACCAAAGTGATCCTGGCCTGCACACAGCGTTTCTGGGAGCAAGAAGGCATATTCGGTGGCAAGTCTAGCACCGACCGCCCCGCCTGCTTTATCCACTATCCCAGTCACATCTTCCCCAATGGCACAGGTGTCATCCTGGCTTCCTGTACTGTGCATGATGATTCCATGTTCTTTGCTGCCATGGATGATGCCCAGGTGGTAGATGTCATCTTGGATGACCCAGCTGCTGTCCATGACCGCCCCAAAGAACAGCTCCGGCCCCTGCCCCTCTTCCACGGTCAAGCACTGGAGCCAAGACCCCTATTCCATGGGAGCGTTCACCTCCTTCCCTCCCTACCAATATGTGGACTACGCACAGGAGCTCAGCCATTCAGAAGGGCGGGTCCACTTTGCTGGTGAACACACAGCCCTGCCCCATGGCTGGATTGATACAGCTATCAAATCAGGGCTCAGGGCAGCAAAGAGCATCCAAGAGTCTGTGGATTTGGCTTTGACAAAGGATCCTGGGGACACAAAAAAGGCCTACTCCAAAAGTGAGCTATAATCAGCTTGTAGCACCTAAGAATTGGGGTGATTCCAATCACCTTGATCCATAGGAAAACCCTCAAAACCTACTCTCTCATTTTATCTTCACCTTTGCCCAAAGATGCCAAATCAAGGCCAATGAACGGAGTCCCTACAATATTTGACCACCCGTGACCTTGGATGTAATGACAATATTTGAACAACAAGAATATTTGTTGTAATGATTAAAACAATAAAGCATTTGTTGAATTTAAGACTAAAATTAAGTGTTTTATCTGAGTGGTGTAAGGGCCCAGCTAACACCGGAGGAAGAGACCACCAAGAGACCACTCATGCAATAAGCAGAAGGGGATTTATTGAGATTCCAGCATGCTGGGGCTCCGTGCCCACTCAAGAGGAGAGAGCAGCCCAGAGCCCAGAGCAGGGGTTGAACAATGCTTAAGTACACTTTCTGGGGAGGACGGAGGCTTTGCATACATCACAGTCTCCTTTAACAAATCACCTTACACCGCGGGAAAATCAAACAACAACTCCTAGACTTGATTAGTACATTCATTGGCGGGAATAGGGTGAGCTGGAGTGATAGGTCATTCCTTAGGAGGGGATTACATTTAAACTGATTGGTTTGGGCCCTGTATGCTTACGTGACTAGTTGCACAGGGTCCTAGGCTATAAATCAACTAAATGGCCAGTAGGGCCTTGTCTTAACTGCCTCAGGAATTTAACCCATGCTTTGCAGTTTAGAAGCAGGTTTACAATTCCTGGTCCTTTACATTTTAACTCAGGCTATGCAGCTTAGAAACTTTACCCTTTCAGTGGCATCCAAATAATTTTAGAATTGAGTTCGGAAGGCCACAGAGACTCTTGCCTTCTAATGCCCTCTCCTGGGGTCCTTTGCTCTGATTTCTGTTCCCTTAATCTGAGTCTATCACTAGCTCCCCATCCCCTCCTCTTCCTTCCATGGCTGATTCCTTTTTTTTTCCCCCCCTGTGGTACTAGGGATTGCTGCAATGCCTGGCCAGGCCCATGAATTTTAAGAGAGGGTAGAAATTTAGTTACCTGGAACAACCTGCTCAATGCTTTTTCCAAATTATTACAATAGCCCTTGAGGTATATACTCCAGTACTACTCCATATTACAGATTATGAAATTGATTTTCCAAGAGGTCACAAATGCTGGTCCTAAGTGGTTTAAACTTCAACCTAACTCTAAATATAACTACAAATCCTCTTGCTTCTTCTAGGCTCAGCTTCTTGGTCTTATTCTTTTTTTTTTTTTTTTTTTTTTTTTTTTTTTTTTTTTTTTTTTTTTTTGGTGCTCCCAAAACAATTAACAATTCACTTTGCAGACTTCTGCAATTAACATCTGAAGTGTTTGAATGAATTCAATGTTCTCAGAAGGCAGGGGGCTGTCTTCTGCCTCCTATACTTTTCCCCGCCCCCATGGAGTCTTCTCGACTGGCAGTCCTGTGAAGAAGTAAACAGATGGAGTTGATACTGATGATAACTTTCAAGCACAGGGATAATGAAATGACAGGGTATGAATGAGATCTAGAGAAGTCCATCATTTGGCAGTGACCTGGCCTGAGTTTTGTCCCTAAAAGACCTCTTGGGGTATGAGTTCATCACTCAAAGGCCACAGGAAGAGGCCAGGTGGCTATGAAGTTAGGGGACAGTTTATCATCAAGGGGAACAAGGTACCTTCAGGAAGGCCTTCAGAACCAGCTGAGATACTGACTTTCTGTTTAGAGCCTAAAACTAAGAACAGCATGCTGCTACTCAGGAAAAACCACTCTAACAGGGTCTAGAATTTTATGTCAGTTGCAGTCTAACAAATGAGCTTGTCAAGTTTTCATGGAAGCTGACAAGACTCATGAGTTAGAGACAGAGGCCACAGCTGCAAGAACTTCCCAAGTCCCAAGGGGGCAAGATAGAGGGATCCTGGTAGATAATGGACTTGTATGGAAGCTGAGGAGCACTAAGCTCAGTGTGAGTTTAACTCAGAGAGTTTAACAATATTAATTCATGCAAGCCTGCTTTTTCTTGGGGGTGAAGATTAACCACTTTTTTTTTTTCTCCCCTTGCTGGGAATCAAACTCAGAGCCTTGTGCATGCAAGGCAAGGCAAGCA